GCAGGGACTGTTTCGCCCTCCCCGCTGCCCATCTGTTGCTGGAGATGCTCATGGAGCAGTGCTGGAAGCGACGCAGGATTGCATCCCTCTCCACCGCTGACTGGAGAGTGTGGCAGAGACCCTCCAGCTGGGCTCTCTTCTTGTAGGCAGATGGAGAAAGGTGAATTGCAGAGAAAGGAGATTTGATAGAGCAAACTGGGAAGGAAAGAACAGCCAGGCAAAAGGTGCGGGTGGGGAAGCCATGATTTCCACAGGAAGAGATATAATGGCATTTCAACTAAATCTCCTGTCTTTGACTTGAAGGAAGTTTGGCAGCTACGTTCCTGAAGTTTGTGTGAATGAGGTCAACAGACTTGTTTGGTAGCTTTTGTGATGCTGGCCTGTTTATCCTTTCTTTTTATTTGATTACTATTGCAGAGTGTGATTCAAAAGATTATGCTGTGCATTTCTAAGCTCTTAACTGACCACTTGTAGAAGCTTTTAGAATGATTTTCACATCTGTAAGAATTTATTTTAAGAGCAGACAGAGAAAAACTGTTTGCCATTTAATTTATAATTTTAGCAATTTTCCCCTGATGAATCTTCTCTAGATCACTTATTAAACTCTGTCAATCAAATCCCTTTATACTGATTGCCACAAATCACTTTTAAGCCTTTCAAAAGAACAAGTAGACAAGAAAAACTCAATTTTAACATCCAGAATCCTAACAGACTGGATTGATCTTTGAAAGGCTTCTTTCAAGACTTAACAGTAGGAGACAGACAGCACCATGAAACAAAGTGAGCTGTAAAAGTAAATGGTGATTCAAAACCAGTCTTTATTGGAAATGCCATGATTTTGAGATATGAAAATTATAAAGGTGCCTGTGTAGCTGTAAAGCTTTTTCTTTTCCTACCAGTGCTGACACAGCTTTGGTGGCTGTTGTAAAAGGGAAGCATGTGCTTATGTGCTTTCTTGCCACCAGAGGTTTGGAGATGCTGGACTTCTGCGTGCTGCTGCTTTTCTGCTTCTCTGATGCCCCTAGAATTTTTCACAAACTGGAGGCAATTTCAGACCTTTCCATTTGTTTGTTTTGATGTACATTTCACAGCGCTGTTTTGGAAAATACTGTCAGTAGCTGTTATTTAATAACTTAATTTGTAAATGCTATCAGTGTCTTGTAGTGATAAACTATATGAGGTTTATTGCTTCTTAAAAACAAAACAAAACAAAAACTGTGCGAAAATCCTAAAAATCCTTCCATTATTTGTCCCTTTAGCTTATGAAAAATGTGGTGAAATGATGATAGGAAATCAAGGTTTATCACTTACAATATATAATATATGGCTTTGTCTTCTGGGTGTAACTAGCCATTATGATGCTGCAATTGATGTATATGTGAAGCTACTATTCCATAAATAATTCTACATATTATAGTTTCCTTTATATATATATATAATATATGTATGTATAAGCTTTCCATTAATCTTTGTGACATGCATAGTGTAGAATGCGGAAAATCCATGTGTTAATCACTCTGTATAAAGTGCTTGCAATTAATATTATACTAAAATCATATTTATAATGTTGCTGCTACTTTCAAATAATCTTTTTTTGCAATCATCAACATTCTTTTCTTATTTTTCCATTCACCATTATGTGAATATTTCCTGTCATTTAATATTTACTATATTCCAAGAGACAGTAGAGAGACAAAACTGATTTACCTGAGTTCATTGCAGTATCTGTCACATGATTCTACTTTTCACCTTTAGAGCTGGCCACTGCTTAAGGGTGGTTGGACCCTGGTAGGCAGCACACTGGGAAGCAGTTCTGTAAAACTAATTTGATTTTTTCATGTTGTTGGTTTTTCCTCCTTCTTTCCCAAACCTGTTTAATTTTAATGTTTCAGTGACAGGGCCCCTTTTGGAGGCCTTGGGTAGTAAGTAACCTCAGAATCTTCTGGGTTTTGAGCATGTTTCCAATAAAGCCTCGAAAGTAAAAACAAACAAAAGAAATGACAAATCTACTGGTGAAGCCTCCAGGCTTTCAGCCTTATCATCATTCATGGCAGGGCACAGTACCTGTCAGATGTTTCAGATGTTGAATGAAAATTTTTACTGAATGTAGGGCACACTGTTTTCAACTGGAACAGCAGTCAAGGATATTTCAGATTATTTTAGATAAATCGCCTATCAAAAAATCTGATTGAAACACAAATACAAAGAATGAATTATCTGGTCAACAAGGTATGGGCTTTAGATGGCCCAGTTATGAAGCAAATAACTCTTCTTAAAGAGCTGCTTGAGGGCATCTTTTCTTAAAGATCATCTTAAAGATGTGTGAGTGGAGAAGGAGATATAGCTGTGATAGCTCTTTAATCAGGGACTTCGAAATGTTCTGCGTGGAATCCATAGGTCCAGGCTCAGATATAGACCTTGGCCATGGAAGGGCCTATACAAGACACCACGGTGTTGTGATTGCTACGTGGACCAGGAAGGAGGAGCAAAGGGATGGGATGAGAGACTGGGATTCATGTGCAAATCTTCCTCTCCTATTCTCCAATCTCCCAGCTTTCACCCTGCCTCTGCGAGCTTGTGGCAATAGGTACAGCACATGAGAAGTCACACAGAAGAGGAAGCCCATGTTCTCCTCTCATCTTTTCTTTTTCCAGCCCATCCTACCTTCTCCATCTTTTTTTTCCTGACAGTATTAGTGCAGTGTAAACAAAACTTAAAGGGGAGAGCTTGGCTTCCAGCATGGATTTTTCCATAGTTT